CATCCTGCTCAGGGGGTTTAAGAGGTCAGTGCTGGTCTCTCCTGGGGAACCATTCTGCTGTGCAGCCGCTGAGAGATCCAGCTGGACTCTAGTGGCCCAGGGACCCCCCCAAGCCTGGGGGGGAGACCGTCTGTCCCTACCTGAGACCCCCAAGCTAAGGGGAGACCACCTGCATGCTACCTGAGACCCTCCAGCTGAGGGGAAACTGCCTGCCAGCTACCCGAGACCCCAGTCCAGGGGTAGATTGCTGCCTGTTGCCTGAGACCCCTGCCCAGGGGTAGGTTGCCGCCTGTTGCCCGAGACCCTTGCCCAGGAGTAGGTTGTCCGCCTGTTGCCCGAGACCCCTGCCCAGGGGTCGGTTGCACGCCTGTTGCCCGAAACCCCTGCCCAGGGGTAGGTTGCCGCCTGTTGCCCGAGACCCCAGTCCAGGGGTAGGTTGCCGCCTGTTGCCCCGAGACCCCAGTCCACTGTGCAGTCACGGAGGGAGCCCAGCTGAGGCGGGACCCTCAAGACCAGGCTCTACCTGGGACCCCCCAAGCCTAGGGGGGAGATCGCCTGCTTGTTGCCCGAGACCCCCAGACCAGGGGTAGATTGCCGCCTGTTGCCCGAGACCCTTGCCCAGGAGTAGGTTGTCCGCCTGTTGCCCGAGACCCCTGCCCAGGGGTAGGTTGCCCGCCTGTTGCCCGAGACTCCTATCCAGGGGTAGGTTGCCGCCTGTTGCCCAAGACCCCAGTCCGCTGTGCAGTCATGGAGGGAGCACAGCTGAGGCTCTGCCTAGGACCCCCCAAGCCTAGGGGGGGAGATCGCTTGCCTGTTGCCCGAGAACACAGCCCAAGGGTAGATTGCCTGCCTGCTGCCCAAGACCTCAGTCCAGGGGTGGATTGCCTGCCTGCTGCCCGAGACCCCAATCCAGGGGTGGATTGCCTGCCTGTCGCCGGAGACCTCAGCCTGGGGGGAGATTGTTTGCCTGTTGCCCGAAGATCCCAGTCCAAAGAGAGGGGAAGACCACACAAGCCAGCCTGCCTGAGACCCCTCGCCTGTCCCGGACCTCCAACAGGTATCTGTGTCTTACTTTCTTATCCCTGGGGGACCAGACACCCTGTTGGATCCGTGGGCACATGCTTTCCCCTGTTTTACCTGAACTGCTTCTGGGACGATCCCCTGTTTTACCCGAACTGTTCCTGTGATGACCCTTGCCCCTTGTGAGATTACCATCCACCACAGAGACTCTTCCTTTGCCCTTGGTGCTGGGCTACCAGTATCTTAGCCCCTCCTCGCTGTCACCCCCCTATTGGCCAGACCACCCGTGCCGGGACTCGTCTCTAGTCTGCGCACAGATCACCCTTCCTGCCATTTTCCCATTGAGTGACTGTCATTTTGTTGTCTTAATGAAGCTTGGTGTGTTCTCCATCCTCTTTGTGTGTTCTGTCCTGCCTGCGCTTCCGTCACAACAATAAAATAGCAACAATTAAAAAAAAGAGATTCTGCATTTCCATCAAATTTAGGACCTCTGGACCATCCGCTTATTGCCAGAAAATTCTGGTCTCTCTTTAGTGATCAAATCAACACTGAAAAAGCTAGACCTGAATCTCGCCCTAGCCCTGGCAATACCTTACTTTCTTCCTTCCTCTTCTCCTCTCCTTCTTTCCCTACCCTCTCCTATCTCTTTTTTCGCTTCCCTTTTCCCCCTGACCACCTCGCCGTATAAACACATCTCCCCCCTCCCTCTACACCATTCCCCCTCACACATGCAGGTACCTAAGCGCACCCTCATGTCAGGAACCCCTCGCCCTCCTGAGGATCCCCCCCCCCTTCCTGACCAGGCCATTTTTTGCGATACGGCGTTGCGTTATTTTAACTTACAATTGCTCGGTCATGCAACGCTGCAACCAAATGAAATTTACATCCTTTTTTCCCCACAAATACAGTTTTTTTTGGTGGTATTTGACCGCCTGTGCGGTTTTAATTTTTTGCGCTATAAACACAATAAGACTGACAATTTAAAAAAAAAAAAAAACAATATTTCGGACTTTTGGCTATTAACCCCTTCACGCCTAAGGGTAAAACAAATCTAAATGCCTAATCGCAATTTTGCAAAGTTGACTGTGTTAGTAAAACTGTACGTATCATCACAACTACTTTATACATCCAGGTGAATTATATCGCGTTTTTTTTTTCAGGACAAACTGGGCTTTCATTTGGTGGTAAATGGATATCTCCTGATTTTTGTTTATTATCAAAGGAAAACTGGCCCAAAATAGTAAAAAAAAAAATCATTTTTTTTATTTAGCTGTGTGTTTCTTGTTACTACCATAATCTACCACCAAAGAACAACCCAAAATAAATTCTCCAGCTCTTGACGATCGCAGTGATACCATATATGTGTATGTTATTTGTTGTTTGACCTTTGACCCTGACCTTGACCCAAACACTAACCTTGGCACTGAACTAGATCAAACCTTGATCTAGGTATTTTTTCTTTTCTTTTTTTTATATTTATTTATCTTCTTTTTTTTTTTTTACAAACATTTTTTTTTTCTCTCTATGCCAGGAGTTAGAGAGATACAATTTATCTCTCTTCTCCATTCATAGAGAGAGAAAACAACAAGGGGGCCAGGCTGCACAGTGACTGATCACTGTGATAGCCAATCAGAGGCTATCACAGCGATCATGTGACCCAGAATCGGGAGTCCCGGGTCCCAATCGTTAGAACGGGACCCAGGGCTCTCAGTGACACGGCTGTCTTTGTGCTCGGTGCACTCCAAGCAGAAAGACAGGTACGCAAATATGCGGCCCCATGGAAAAAAGCCCAGTTCCGTGAGGCCGCATATTTGTGTGACATCGGCATCAAGGGGTTAAACATGTCCAGTAAAAAAAAATAAAAAATAAAAAAAATTATTATTATATAGGATTTATATACCGCCAACGGTTTGCTCAGCGCTTTACATTATATTGGGAGACAATACAGCAACAATACAGTTCAATACAAGAGGGATAGGAGGACCTGATCCTGGGAGCTTACAATCTAGGAGGGAGGGGTAGTGGTACAATAGGTAAAAAATTGTGGGGGATGGACTGGTTGGAAGAGTAGAGGATTCCAGTATTAGCTGAGGGCGGTATAGGCTTCCCTGAAGAGAAAGGTTTTCAGTGATCGCCTAAAAGTAAGTAGAGTAGGTGATAGTCTGATAGATTGGGGTAGGGCGTTCCAGAGGATGGGTGATGCCCTGGAGAAGTCCTGGAGACGAGCATGGGAGGAGGAGATAAGGGAGCTAGAGAGTAGGAGGTCGTGCGAGGAGCGGAGAGTACGGTTTGGGTGATATTTAGAGATAAGATCGGTTATGTAAATTGGGGCAGTGGACAGCTTTATACATCATAGTTAGTGTTCTGAATTTTATCCATTGGGCAACTGGGAGCCAGTGGAGGGATTGGCAGAGGGGGGTGGAGGACACTGAATGGAGGTCAGTGGAGGGATTGGCAGAAAGGGGCGGAGGACACTGAATGGAGACCAGTGGAGGGATTGGCAGAGAGGGGTGGTGGAAACTGAGTGGAGGCCAGTGGAGGGATTGGCAGAGAGGGATGGAGGACACTGAGTGGAGGCCAGTGGAGGGATTGGCAGAGAGGGATGGAGGACACTGAGTGGAGGCCAGTGGAGGGATTGGCAGAGAGGGGTGGAGGACACTGAGTGGAGGCCAGTGGAGGGATTGGCAGAGAGGAATGGAGGACACTGAGTGGAGGTCAGATTGGCAGAGAGGGGACACTGAGTGGCAGAGTCAGAGAGGGGTGGTAGATACAGAGCGGATTGTGAGGTGGATGAGCCTGGCAGCAGCGTTCATGATAGACTGAAGGGGATAGCCTGCGATAAGGTAGGCCAATGAGGAGGGAGTTACAACAGTCGAATCAAAATCAAATTTCGTCATAAATTTAGGCCAAAATGTCTTTGCTGAAAAAAATCCCAATACGTGTAAATTAATTGGTTTATGTGAAAGTTATAGCGTTTACAAATGGCGGTGTATATACTGAGATTTTTTTTTTTATACTAGTAATGGTGGCGATCAGTGACTTATAGCGGGACTGCAGCGGCATTCTGACACTGGGAGGGGAACTGACTTGGTGTCACTGACATCCCCAGTGACGCCAATACAGTGATCAGTGCTAATAAAAAGCACTGACTGTACTAATGACAAAGGGCAGGAAGGGGTTAACATCTGGGGCGATCAAAGGGTTAACTGTGTGCTGTTTTACATCATGTGCTGTTTTACTTGGGAAACATGCTGCCGTGTATTTCTCTGCTTTGCAGCATGCTCTTGATTACAGGAGAGAGACCTGTGTTGTTTACATACAGGTCTCACCCAGGGGCGGACTGACAACTCATGGGGCCCCTCAGGCAATAGGGGATCATGGGGCCCCTGTGTCCTTGCCCAAACTCAAATAAGCCTATGGTACCAGGGGCATCTAATAGGGCCCCCTACTGACTCCGGGCCCTCGGGCAGTGCCAGAGTTTCCAAATGTTCAGTTCGCCCCTGGTCTCACCCCTGTCAGTTTTCCCTGGTGTTTGATTGGTGCCGGCAGAGAATCCGTCCAGGACCACGTGATTGACATGCCTAGCTGCCAATGGCGGTGTGGGTAGGGTGGCACGTGTGCACCCCCTACCGGAAATGCAAATCACGTGTAAATATACGTGACTTTGAACAGCCCTGCCGCCCTGTAGCAGTATTTCTGCTATAGGGCAGAGGGGCGACTGAAAAGTCAAAATATGTGAACGTTCAACAGGTCCAAAGATTTAGGGAGCTGAAGTTCTACACGTCATTTCCAGTGAAGGCAACTTCTGCTGAGGCATCTGTTCCATTATATGTCCGGTTTCGAATTATAAAATTAGATGATAGGTTTTAAATACACTTTTGACTTCTTTCCAATCATTTCAATTACATTTTTTAGCAAATCCTCCTGTGAACATGAGGATGTTTTGCCCCATAAAACATCAGCATCTTCTTCGTACAACGATGGGCCTGCATAACAAGACTGTGGTCACGGAGTTTATACTGGTTGGATTAACAGAAAGCGCCAGGCTAAAATATATTTTGTTTGCCGTCTTCTTCTTTATTTACATGTTGACTCTGTTTCAGAATGTGGGACTTATAGTGCTCATCAGCGTGGACAGGAAACTTAAAACTCCTATGTATAGTTTCTTGCGCCACTTATCGTTCCTTGACATCTGCTACTCGTCAACAGTCATGATCAGGTTGCTGAAAGACTTATCCTCATATAATACATCCATATCCATTGCTGGATGTGAGCTTCAGATGCTGTCCTATATAGGGTTTGGAGTAACTGAGTGTTTCCTTCTGGCAGCCATGTCGTACGACAGATACGTGGCCATATGCCACCCACTGACCTACCTACAAATAATGAGCAGGCAGACCATCGTGATCCTACTGGTGTTCTCCTACTTAGGAGGCTTGATAAACGCCTTTGTTGAGACTGGCTTTCTCGCACTTCCATCTGGACTTCTGTGAACAACGCCCATATATTTACCACTACTACTGCGACGTTATTGCACTGATTCAGATTTCCTGTGGTGACACCAGACTCAATCAATCGATCCTCTTCTCCTTTGCAGGTTTTACCGAGTTCTCATCTCTGTCGGTGATCCTTGTGTCCTATTTCTATATTTTTGTGTCTGTCTTACGCATTCGTTCTTCTCAAGGACGCAGGAAGGCCTTCTCTACTTGCGGTTCTCATCTGACGGTGGTGACTTTATTTTATGGAACTGTCATGTTTATGTATCTGAGACCTTCAACTGACTACAGCCCAGAGCAAGGCAAAGTGGTTTCTGTATTTTTCACTATAGTCATTCCTTTTCTGAATCCTTTCATATACAGCCTGAGGAATCGTGACGTAAAAACGTCTGCCAAAAGATTGGTAATTTCCCCACTAAGGAAAGTGGGAAGATTTGGTATACATTGACAGTAATATACGTATTCATGCTTTAAAGATAAATGGACACAATATATTTGATTGCTTTGTTTGCTTTTCTTTGTCCATTGAATTGAGTGAAAAGTTTCCTACTGCTTGGTCTTCCCATCTGCTGGCCACCATGTTTTTTTCCGGGTCAAATAACTGCTGATTCTCGGCTAGTTTATATTGTTAAAAATAAGCCATACAATTATTTGAAGTTAAATTGACTTGAGTAAGGCTGAAGGATAACATTGAACTAATATGGCCATGTGTCTGTATTGGGTCAATGATGTCACAAGCATCCCCACCCCTTTGTGTACATCAGTCACGAGGCGAGGAATCTCTGGCCGGCTACTAATTGGCTCAGCAATGATATCTAAATTCTGGGTTTAGACAAACTTAAGTTAGGACCCAATCCATGCCCAGCAATGACATCTAACTTCTGGGTTTAGACAAACTTGAGTTTGGACCCAATCCATGCCCAGCAATGAAATCTAACTTCTGGATTCGGACAAACTCGAGTTTGGAACCGTTCCAAGCCCAGCAATGACATCTAACTTCTGGGTTTGGACGAACTTGACTTTGGACCCACTCCAAGCCCAGCAATGACATCTAACTTCTGGGTTTGGATGAACTCGAGTTTAGAACCAATCCAAGCCCAGCGATGACATCTAACTTCCGGGTTTGGACGAACTTGAGCTTGGACCCAATCCAAGCCTAGCAATAACATCTAACTTCTGGATTTGGACAAACTTGAGTATGAAGTAAATCCAAGCCCAGCGATGACATCTAACTTTTGGGTTTAGACGAACTTGAGTTTGGACCCAATCCATGCCCAGCAATGACATCTAATTTCTGGGGTTGGACAAACTTGACTTTGGACCCTCTCCAAGCCCAGCAGTGACATCTAACTTCTGGGTTTGGATGAACTCAAGTTTAGACCGAATCCAAGCCCAGCAATGACATCTAGCTTCCAGGTTTGGACGAACTTGAGTTTGGACCCAATCCAAGCCAGTGATGACATCTAACTTCTGGGTTTGGATGAACTCGAGTTTAGAACCAATCCAAGCCCAGCGATGACATCTAACTTCCGGGTTTGGACGAACTTGAGTTTGGACCCAATCCAAGCCTAGCAATAACATCTAACTTCTGGATTTGGACAAACTTGACTATGAAGCAAATCCAAGCCCAGCGATGACATCTAACGTTTGGGTTTTGACAAACTTTAGTTTGGACCCAATCCATGCCCAGCAATGACATCTAATTTCTGGGTTTGGACAAACTTGAATTTTGAACCGTTCCAAGCCCAGAAATTACATCTACTCCTGGGGTTGGACGAACTTGACTTTGGACCCTCTCCAAGCCCAGCAATGACATCTAACTTCTGGGTTTGGATGAACTCGAGTTTAGACCCAATCCAAGCCCAGCAATGACATCTAACTTCCAGGCTTGGACGAACTTGAGTATGGACCCAATCCAAGCCCAGTGATATCTAACTTTTGGGTTTGGACAAACGCGGGTTTGGAACCAATCCAAGCCCAGCAATGACATCTAACTCCTGGGTTTGGACGAACTTGAGTTTGAACCCAATCCAAGCCCAGCAATGACACCTAACTTCTGGATTTGGACAAACTTGAGTTTGGACCCAATCCAAGCCTGGCAATAACATCTAACCGCTGGGTTTGGACAAACTTGAGTTTGGACCCAATCCAAGCCCAGCAAACTACAGTGGGTATAGAAAAGAATTACCCCCCTGTAAAATAATCACATTTTGTTGCTTTGCAGCCTGAAATGAAGATAGATACAGTTTTTGTTTGCTGGTTTTTAGCATGGATTAGGGTTTATAATCCTGGTATTTAAGGGAAATTCAATATAATATTGGAATTTCGGTAACAGTCGCTCAAATTGTTTATTTTTTCTATTTTTCAGGTTCATAGGTGCCCCATTGGTTCCCCAACAGTGATATAACAACATTTTCTGGGATCTCAGGGCCTATAGCACCAAGCCCTTCATAGTAAGAGTAAGGGGCATGGCCCCTAGCATAGTATTATTGCTAGTGGATATACTGTGTAGCACAGGTGCCAAACTGGCGGCCCTCCAGCTGTTGCCAAACTACAAGTCCCATGAGGCACTGCAAGATCGACAGTTACAAGCTTGACTCTCAAAGGCAGAGGCATGATGGGACTTGTAGTTTTGCAACAGCTGGAGGGCAGCCAGTTTGACACCCCTGCTGTATAGCATCTACTGTATTTTGTTATTGTTTGACATTTCCAGCTTGAAAGTATGTACCCCCCCCCCCCACCCACCCACCAAGGGATTGTTGCTGCTGCCCACCTAGGAATCCCCCAACTGGTCCAGTAAAAAGCATGCATATTTATAAATTTTTTTATACAGGTAGCAATTGCTGTAGTTTATATTAATGAATTGTGTAACTATACTATCTGCCCTATAATATCTATCCAAGAGATTGCCAGCCACTTCAAAGAATTGATTGATGAAATACGTGAGGACACATCCACTATACAGATATCTTCCCCACTTACATTGTCTAACAGCACAGTCAACACTTTTCTCTTCTGAACTGGTTACTACTGAAGAGGTTACCAAACATTTCTCAGATGCCCACCTAACCAACTGTGTCCTAGATCCTGCTCCCTCACAACTACTATGGTCACCATCTTCTTCCATCCTATGCTCCCTCACTCAGATCTTCAATCTCTCCCTCTCTACTGGCACCTTCCCCTCCCCTCTAAAGCATGCACAGATCACTCCCATATTTAAAAAGCCCTCCCTGGACCCCACCAACCTGAACAACTTAAGACCCATTTCACTCCCATTCACCTCTAAACTTTTAGAATGCTTGGTCTACAACCGTCTTATCTCCTACCTCACTGTAAACAACCTTCTTGACCCCTTACAGTCTGGCTTTCGCTCTACTAAAACTCACTAATGATTTACTAACGGCTAAAGCCAATGGTCACTACTCCGTACTCATCCCAACCAATGGTCACTACTCCATACTCATCCCAACCAATGGTCACTACTCCGTACTCATCCCAACCAATGGTCACTACTCCATACTCATCCCAACCAATGGTCACTACTCCGTACTCATCCCAACCAATGGTCACTACTCCATACTCATCCCAACCAATGGTCACTACTCCATACTCATCCCAACCAATGGTCACTACTCCGTACTCATCCCAACCAATGGTCACTACTCCATACTCATCCCAACCAATAATCACTACTACTCCGTACTCATCCCAACCAATGGCCACTACTCCGTACTCATCCCAACCAAATGGCCACTACTCCGTACTCATCCCAACCAATGGCCACTACTCCGTACTCATCCCAACCAATGGTCACTACTCCATACTCATCCCAACCAATGGTCACTACTCCATACTTATCCCAACCAATGGTCACTACTCCATACTCATCCCAACCAATGGTCACTACTCCATACTCATCCCAACCAATGGTCACTACTCCATACTCATCCCAACCAATGGCCACTACTCCGTACTCATCCCAACCAATGGTCACTACTCCATACTCTTACTACTTGACCTTTCTGCTGCCTTTGATACTGTTGACCACCCGCTCCTTCTCAATATACTCCATTGCCTTGGCCTTCAGGATTCTGCTCTATCTTGGTTCTCCTCCTACCTATCACAGCGTTCCTTCAGTGTTACCTTCAACTCTGTCCCCTCCTCTCCACTTCCTCTTTTTGTAGGGGTCCCCCAAGGCTGTTTTTGGACCCCTTCTCTTCTCTATCTACAGTTCTCTCACCTGATAACCTCCCACAGCTTCCAGTACCATCTTCACGCTGATGACACCCAAATCAATCTCTCTTCTCCTCACCTCACTCCTTCAGTTTCCTCCCACATTACCAACTAACTAACTGACATATCACGATGGATGTCACACCACTTAAACTAAATATATCTAAATCCGAGCTTATAATATTACCCCCCCCCCCCCCCACCGCTCATGCCCTCCTCCATGACTTTTCCATCAAGACCAATAAAACAACTATCAGTCCCTCCCCTCAAGCCAGAGTACTAGGTGTAATCCTGGACTCTAACTTACTCTTTCAGCCCCAAATCCAATCTCTGTCAAATGTATGTAGACTTCACCTCTGCAACATCTCTAAGGAGAAGGAGAAATGATTCAGTGTCAGTGTAAAAAAAAAAAAAAAAAGAAAAAATCTTCATCACCCCCCACAAGTAGTACAGTGTCACTATGGTAACACTATGGTATGGTAACACTGCACTGCTAGGGTGACAGTATGTTAAAAACAAAAACAAATAATAATATAAAAAATAAAATAAAAATTAAATTTTTTTTTTTAAATTATAGTTTTTGGCTATAAACTAATTTGGATTATTTGTTTTTTTTACTAAAAAGATAGATGAATACATTTTGGCCAAGATTTATGAAGAAAGATTATTTATTTGCATAATTTTATAATAAAAACACTTTTTTTTTTTCCAAATTTGG